TCAAGTTTTTAGGATGCTGGTTCACAGCTACACTCAAATACGCTACACAAATAAAACTTATTAAACAAGAAATATTTAGTCTTAACAATATACTCAAAACAAAAAATATTACTGACAAGCAAGCCATCTATATTATCAACAATGTTATTATTCCCATTTTGGAGTAGATTAGTGATGATTTGTATAAGTTGAATAGGCATATTAAGAAGTTGCAAAGCTTTGAGAAGAAGCTGTATATTGACTTTAGGAAGCTGAACTAACGAACCAAATGTGACAGTTACCTCTTTCTGAAAATTAATGAATTACTAAGTGCCCTTAAAAATTCTGTGTGGTATACTACCTTGAACCTTGTAAGTGAATTCTGGCAGATAGGTGTCTACCCCCGTGCCTGTGAAAAAATGGTGTTTATGATGAAATTCAGGTTGTACGAGTTTGTGATAATGCAATTTGGCTTGACGAACACCCCTGCTACCTTCTAACAATTGATGGACCATGTGCTGCAAAAAGAAATGTGAAACTTTGTGCTGGCCTATATCGATGATGTGAATATTTATTCTTCTGACTTTGATAATCATCTGAAGCACGTAGATGCTGTTTTGGAAAAGCTTTATAAACAAACCTAAAACTAGACCCCAACAAATGTTACTTTGGACAAGACCAGATTGTATTTTTGGGACACAAAATCTCCAGCGAAGGAATTGGTGCTTCGGAAACCAAGGTATCAGCTGTTAATAACTTTTTCTGACTGTCAAACCTGCGATCGCTTAGAAGTTTTCTAGGATTAGCCAGGTTTTATTGACGATTCATCAAGGATTTTTCTAGAATAGCTGCTCCTCTATACAAGTTACTAAAATCGAATAAAAAATTTGTATGGAAACAAGAACAACAAGCTGCATTTAATAAGTTGAAGAGAAGACTGACCTCGTCTCATGTGCTTGCTCATTCCTGTGATGATGTCGGATTTGTTTTTTACATAGATGTGTCACATTAGGCTCTTGGCACTGTGTTGTTACAACCTGACGATGATGAAGTCAAACATGTAGTAGAATACATCAGTAGATCTACCAAGCCCACTGAGAAAAACTACACTATAACTGAGCTGGAATACACCGCGATTGTTTAGGCAGTTAAAAAGTTCAATCAATACTTGCAAGAATCTCAATTCACAATTATACCTGACTATACCACTTTGACCTACCTTAATAATATCGTAAACCCTATGGGAAGGATGGCACGGTATATTATGACCTTGCAAGACTACAATTTTGTTGTAAGGTATAAGCCAGAGAAGCAAATAGGTAATGTTGACGGTCTCTTCAGGATTGAGGAAACAAGGGAATAAAAAAAAATTTGAATAAGAAAAAAGGAAAAAAGTACGTGGATGACGGTTTTAAGGTCACTTAAGTAAGACTAAATTTAAATGACATTGCAAATCACCAACTTCAAATAAATGCACTCGTCTTGCTGTGGGTTAGTTTGTTCCGTATTCTTTTTGATGCCTTTTCTTTTACCTGTTGCTAATATAAATTCTTTAGTATCATCCTTAATACAATTTTTATTATAATAAATCTCTTAATAGTCTCAATTATTGTT